CTGTTCAAGATAATTCATTTAGGACAGGAAACCAAAGCTTCAACGTTTTGGAAGGTTATGTAGTATAATTTATGTTAGCATTAATCTACTAGCTTTCTATCATGAATGCTGTTCTCTGATTGGCTAGGCTACTTACTATCTATTCTGTTGTAAATAGTGTCAGAGTAGCTTAGCAGTGTGGGGGCAGCTGGGCCCCCCTTCTTTGTGTTTTCTAAGTGTCTTTGAAGAGGATTTAGATTAAAGTTTTGAATGACTACTAAATTTATACTAAAACAATTAGATTATTCGCTCTTGATTTCCATGCGTGATAACGCCTTCGTCAAGGCTATGCCTTCATCAACTGTCACACTATAGAAATCTCAAGCTCATAATCTAATTGTTAAATATAAAATAGTGGGACTCTTGTAGTTAATGCCAATGTTTCCAACAGTTTTGTCTAGAGTTATGGTTGCCATGAGTGAGAGGCAAACACTTCACTCATACTAACCAAGACAAAGTGATTTTCAGGCTGATGTTGCTGTATTGGTAGTTGGCTCCAGCACTGGTGAATTTGAGTCAGGATTTGAAGCTGGAGGACAGACTAGAGAGCATGCACTTCTGGTGAGGTCACTGGGTGTAACACAGATTGTTGTCGCAGTCAACAAGCTTGATAATGTAAGTGTCCTAAGTAACATCAAATACAGGCAAACTAGTCTAAGAGCACAGAATTTGATAGCAGTGTCTACTGATGGCAAAGTATCTTTACTATGTCTGAAATTGAGAGCTAAAAGATGTGACTCCAGGCAGCTGTGCCCTTGTCAACTATCACACAAGAGAACTCTCAAGTTCACAATCTAATTGTTAAATAGACCCACTGAGAAAATATTTTCGTTTTAGCTTAGAATACACTTTGCAAAAATGAAAGATAATCACTCATTTATTTTGACTATCAAAATGTTAATTCCCAGCACTTGTGCCATTGCAGTGTCAACAGCTTGTAGTTTGTGTTAGTTTAATGTTCTTTGGGGTTATATCCATGTATGGCCTTTAACCATGCTTTCTTACAGGGCGTTTTTTATCAACATTAGAGGACATATTTCTTTCTTTTTTTTAGGCTCTCTGGTCAGAAGCTCGATATGATCATATTGTGGGAAAGCTTAAGCACTTCCTAAAACAGGCAGGATTTAAGGTATGTGTATTCTCTGACAATGTACACTACATATAGAAAACATGAAAAACTCTAAACGTACAATGCAGACATTGTAGTAAATTATAATTGTGACTATCAAAGTTGCAATGAAAATACAGAAATGTGTCTATCTAATATATAGTTGGAAGTTTGAAGGTTCAGGAGCAAAACAACTTCAGTTGCAAAGTCACAGTGTATATTCTACAGCCTATGCAGCTCAGTAGTCTATGCCCTGTGATATGTCACCCATTTTTCCTGAATAGGAAGTTGAACTAGAAGTGACCAGTGAATTCAAGCAACAGGCTATTTTTCATGCTATTCTGGGGTCAGCAGCATAGGGAAGAAGTTAACATGATTGTTGTCTGGTTTTGTCCACGTGTCAGTGGAGTTTCTTTCTCTCTCTCTTACAGGACTCTGATGTTGTGTATGTTCCCTGCAGTGGTCTCACTGGTGAGAACCTTGTAGGGCCTTGTGAAGAGCCCCTACTATTGAAATGGTATAATGGACCTTCCTTACTGGACAGAATAGGTACATGTGCATAGTTTGAGAGAAAAATTCAGTGACTCAATCACTATTCTGAGTACAATGTACAATGCATCAACAGATTTTGAAGCTACTTTAGGAAAGCAGAATTAGCAATGATAGTTTCCCTTTTGCTAACATAAAGGTATACTGAAGCTTGGATGAAGACCTTTGATTTTATCAAGTTACATTGTTAATAATACACTTGAAAACAAATACTCAATTCCTATTGACTAAAAGTGGTGCCCTTCAAGTGTAACACTAATGCAGAATTAAAAGTGTATCACCAGTGCAAATTACAATGAAGATTTCTGAAGTAAGTACAAAGGCACTCAAATACTATGCGAGTTTTTAGAAGATGGTCGAAATTTAACTTCCAAAGATAGCTGAAGAGAATTTGAGCTTTTATGTTATTCACAACATTATTTGAAAATGTAATGATACAATGTTCAGTGGAATGTAAAAGATTCAGTAGAGGCAACCACATAATGTCACTGTTTTGCTCTTGCAGATAATTTAAAGGCTCCAAAGCGGGACCTTGACAAAGCCTTTAGGTTCTGTGTGTCAGATGTTTATAAAGGTAAGCTATAGTCTTCATTAATTTTAAACTCCTAACTAATAGATGAGGTTGGGATGAGGGACCATTAACAAGTTGACATGGGACTCAAGGACTAATACATAACATTGGTGATGATTGTAACCGTGATAGCAATCTGCCGACATTAGCAAGTTGAAGCATGGCAAATAGTAGTGATCTGCAGAGGGTTACAGTGATCAGCGATGGGAATCAAACTGCCACCCTTTATACAGAGTGACCCATGAGTGGCAATCACATAGCATGGAAATGTGTGTGAGAAAACTTGAATTATTATGAGATATAATAAGCTTGATGTAACAGAAGATAACGGTAAAATGTTGTCTTTAATGGCACACAAACTGCGCTAGCCGTTGCATTGCGAAACTGACCACAAGACGCATAAATTACAAGACTGCATCTTAAATACCGGATATGTGCACGTGCACTTACGAAAATAACAACAATCACAATAACACCTAATTACGGGTATGCATAGTTCGTCACATCTTCCCCTTTAAAGGAAAGCTAAAGTCATCACACATAAGAATATTGTTCTTACTAAATGTCCGATTAAGACATGACATAGTCTTTGAAATAGCTAGGAGGGTTTCTCCGTCTTGTGGACCTTCTGATCTTCATAGTAATTTCTATATTTACACTTGAAATACACTACTGTAGCTGTAGCTGCTCAACAGATTGTAAAGCTTTCCTTTTGTGATACATGTTTAGATTAATGTTGCAGTTCCTAGGGAGTAATGCTTTAAATACCCTGACAATCACAAGCAATAAACACGCGTTCTATGGTGTAAAGGGGGGAATACTGCTCCGCAATCTGTGTGAATGACAAACTTCCATTGTGTGACCAAATGCCAAACTTATCTCCCCAGTGGTTAATTCCACACTGGATCGGACAAGTGGGCGAGGCCAAAAGCTTGCGCGTCCTATAAGCGTAACTCTAAATGGCACTACAAGCTGACCTCCGGTCAGCATCGTGCTAGAGTGTAGACAGTTCTCAAGCCTTACTTATCTCCCCAGCACTATGAGCCGACTCTGCCGGCATGTGCTGGATCGGACAAGAAGAGGCATAAAAGAGCGTTAAATAGCCCCACTAAATTAGCAAAAATGAAGCTTGGGGAAGTCACTGCAAGTCTTAACCAATAGCGTGTCACGAGAGGTGAACCCCAGTTTATTATTTATACTAGAAGTAATCAAAGATTATGAGAGTGCGTTCGACGCCGTCACTTAATTAAATATATGTAAATGATTTCACTGGCTGACTTTTAACCTCTGTCTATTGCTAAAATCAACATTTTTCATCGACAACCGCGGTTTTTATACAGACAGTTTTATCATAGTGTCAAAGTCCACCATTTGTTGACATGTTGCGTGACAGCACAAGTTTCCATAAAAACACAAGTTTAATTGAACTAAAATATTTACATTTATAGCCTTCAAATTTTGTGCTAAATATTCTCACATTAACTGGTAATGTTTGGACGTAAAAGCTAATTTGTAAAAGTAAAGTTTACATACATTATTCTAAACTGGAAGCACAAATGTAAGCAAACATTTGCAATTGTGTGCTTGTTTATCGTCAGCGTAAACAAACTCCATGCGACTAATTCGCGTATCATGTTCCCCTAATAATTTGCCATTCCTTGGTTCAGGGTCACTCTTATGGATCTTGCCTCCAGAGTACTTTTCCACCGATTCCAAATAATATTCAACCGGATAAGGACTGAGCTATCTACGTGTCTGTCGCGACTGGCAATAATCAACTAATGCAATCAAAATATAGCTTTTCCCACGGTTAACATCTGGAAAGCCAAAGCACTTCAAAGTCGTGTTCGTTTTAAAACAAATAAATTAAACAAGGACAATTCCATCAGATTTTGATAAATGCCACCGTCGAGGCATTTAAATTCACCTAAATCCAAGGCTGAGAGCACAATTGAATACTTCCAGCTTCCAAATTACAGTGTAAATGTCCACAAAAACCCGCACTTGAACGAAACAAAGACTTGCACTCGAAAGAAATGTACAGCACATGGTTTGGCGATGATGTCATTCATTTCGCCCCTGCTGCTTGGCGGCCAAATTGGTGTCACTACTTTGAACGAAGGCCCACCATCCCATGAAATGCGACTCAAGTCTGCATTAGGACTACGTTATACGAGCGCAATTAATGAAGAACAACAATAAACCCCTAAAGGGAGGGAAGGGTGGGAGTTACAATTTTGAGGGCTAACTAAAAGTTACAGTAGTGATATAACGAGTGAATGATGCTTAAGTCCAAGCTAAGACTCTTT